TACTCCACTCGAAGATCATGTGATGTCAATAGTACGTAGTTTACAGGGGCTGTAAGTTGAATACTGGTTTTGATTTCCGTAGAGTTGTGTGGTCATTTTATCTGAAAGCTGACATTACATCTCTTGCCTATTCCCGCAGTAAGAATCTAACCGTCATACTTCTCGATATATCTCATAGTAGATTTATTAAGCAAATCGCATTCATTATGCTTGCATTCACTTCTATTTGTTTCTATGTGTCAATTACTAAATAATTACAGTGTAAACAATGTTGAATAAACGACAAAGTACCTCGGCCCCAGAAACATGTCGTTTAAAGATGACGTAGAGATTATTTAAAAGTTAACAGGCACTTTTCCTGTTCTAATAAATTAGTTAATTCATTATAATCGAGTAAATTTCGATAATCATGTTTCTCTTATGACCCTAATTGTTAATGTAATGGAAGTTCAATAATGTTCCAGAGATCAATTTCGTTCACAGTCTTCCGTCATTGACTGGTTATTATGCTATTGTAGAGCAAAAATTAGATGTCTGTAATGCAGTGCCACAAAATCCATGAAATAGGTGAATTCTTCTTTCATCTTGTCATTCTCTTGAGCAAATGATTTCATCTCATGCTTTTAATCTTTTAAAATTAGCAGAATTTGGCGGAAATAAACATATCACTATCGTCAAGTTGAAATAAACATTGTGATTCGTGTTCATGTTTCATGAGAAACGTGCTGCAAGTCGAATACAAGACACTACAACTCGTTACAAGAACTTGATATCTGTGAATTCCGAAATAGCGAACTGCGTCTTCGCAAAGGAATCTAAAGGATGAGCATCGGTTCTAGATTTTTAGCTCATGTCTGTGTCTCGGTTTCCTTTCTGTTAGTTGGGTGGAAGTTCATTGGAATTCACATCCCGCAAGCCAGCGTTTCCTGGATCCACTTTCTGCGTTGTTTTCTTAAACTTCTTGATTGTTTCTATCGCGGGGCTCAGGAAGCTGGCCTCCAAAGAACTCTCGCTGAGGCTCAATATCTTGGAGCTGTTCGTGCTCAAGAATGCTGAGCATTCCTGCCATTCTCTTCATAGCTGATCGAGAATCACATCAGTAGCCTCTGAGCGTTGCTTAGGGTCCTGATGCAACCTACACCGTGTGCCAGGTATAGGATATAAAGAGCCTTCAAATCAACGCGATGCCGTGAATGTTTGGCCCGGAGTTTGTTCACCATCCCTGCACTTGCGCTCATTATTACAACACTTCTCTTTAACTTCACTTCTTGTTTGTCTGTCTGCTACAAATCTTATAATCGATTTTTAACACACTTCTACCTCTCCAATCGATCTGAAATTTCGCACACTTGTGTAAAGTTGGAGACAATGCATGAATTAATTGACAGAATAGATAATTTTGAAATTTTAATTTTTTCATATATTAAAAAAATTAAAAATTTAGATTTTTTAATGTATGGAAATAAAATTAGAAATTCATTGTACATGTGAAACATCGCAGACACTGTATTCTTTAGAAGTGTTGTCTATAAAAAGTAATTTTCAAACGCATATTTTTGTGCTCACTTTGCTCTTCTCGAATTTACTTTTCGTTGACTTTGTTGACTGTTTTTTTATTTTTTTTTTCTAGTTTGGGATTGATCATGGAAGAATTTGTTGATTGAAATATGTAGGATGTTGTTGTCCATAGCCGAATAGTCTGTTATTCGCACGACGAGAGTTTTTTAATTAGTTATTCTTATTATTTTATTATTGCTGAGTTTCCTAATATGCACGTTTATCTTTGCGAGCTATGTCGTCGAAATAGTTTAATTTTAATTATAATAATGTTTCCCCAAGAATTTTTGCGACATACCGAATATTTTTACTCAAAATGATCAGCTGGTCAATCATATCCTGGATTTTTATTTAAGAATAGAATCGTTCAAATTAAGGTTTTCATTATCTATGGTTACTTTTCATGTGGTATTCGAATGCCATTTAAATTCCATGTGGCTCTTATTGGCCTCATGACAGTTTTGAGGAAACTTTACTGAATTTAATGAAGCCAATCTTGCGGTGCAGAAACTCAGGGGTAGGAATCGTGACCTTACTTTGGAGTCTTACCGACTGGGAATCTCTGAAGCTTTTATTCAATTACGTGAACGGCGAACTCCCAAATTTGATAAGGCTTGCAGACGCTTTTGGAATGGCGGCCTACATCAAATTAGGGAACCGTCAGGGTTCTTTGATGGCTGCGAGCGCGTCCAGGAATTCGTTGGACTCTCCGACCGACAGTCACAGGCGACTCATTTGTGTTGCTTCGTGTGCTCACTCTGTGCATTTGAACACATTAATTACTATTATTCTTCTTATAGTGCACCACTTAGTAGGCGTTATTCCTTGGTGTGCTGTTCGTTGTTTACTCACCGCTTCTGCATGAAATGGATACTGGATTACACTTCCAAGATTCAAGCGCGAATTGTTTACTTTTTGTAGTCAGATGATTTTTCTTGGCAACTCTATATAGTGCGGAAAACAAATAATTTATTATTTTATGTATCATTAGTTCGTAGTTGTGCGATGAAGTATTATCCTAGAAATCATTTGCCTTCATTTGAACACACCTCGAATCGTGTTCTTGGTTTAACAGGAATCTTGCTCACTTCAGTTTGAATTGACTCGATATTTAAATAAATACTTTAAATATTTTCTTCCAGACAAATGGTAATACCCAGTTTCCTTTGAGACTCGTATACTATGGCATTTTACACTTTTCTCAATTGTGAGTGACCTGATACGGCTGTAAATTTGTGCCTGTTTTCTCCTTAATTCATCCGCAAAATCACTATCGTCAAACATAGCGCTATATCCCAAGAACTTTTTGTCAAACGTCTGCTGTTGGTGAGTAGATTCTTCTGGAAAATGCCTGAAATTCTATCCTTTTTTGACGCCTCTTTTGTGCATTATTATCTCACACGGAAATATTCCTTTATTCGGGGCCCTTCTACATGACATCACGTAAATTCCTGTGCCCGTTTTTGGTACTTTGGGTTCTGAAATTGGTTCTTGAAATTCTCATCATAAGCTCGACACGCGTTGCGCTCGAGATACAAGCGGGCCGCAGTCAGCCATAATGACAGTCGTAGAAGCTCGCGCTCTCTAACTAATTTTAGGTGAGTATTCCAAAACAGGTCTGCTTGCCTTTGGTTTCTTCATGGTTTGCATCAGAGAAACAAGCTAGCGTTTATTAACTTCATTTTACTCACGTTGATTTAAAGTAAGCATTTACCGACATATCTGCTCTATGGCTCAATATTTTATCTAGTGTGTAAGACAAATATGTTTTGTTTTATCTTATGGAAGCATGCGAAATATTTCAGCGTCCTCTATGAGATATTTGAAGTTTGAACGTAGTAATACTTCTCGTTGACCTGATTTATGATGCAAAATTTATATCTCAGCTACACTAACCAGGTTTGTCACGAACCCCGGCATTGAACATATCTTTATTATGAACATATCGTGCAACATATGAAACACCTAAAAAACTGAACCTCTACTTGGTCTGGATGGAGATTTCTGCGACGATTTTATGCCGCAGTGCTCTTCATTCACTGGGTCACTCCGCTGCAGTGTCGCTTCGCTTTACGTTGCAAAGCTAAAAACTTGTTATCCAGAGAGTCGCTGTGAAGCATGAGAATGTGGTTCTCGCTGGCAAAAGTTCAGTGCTGATAGCGAAAAAGAATGCCAGTTTATAGGGTGAATTCTAGCCTTCCAGTCCGTTGGCTACTGGGAAAACCGACGTAACTGCTCTACTCATAAATTGCCGAGGGTCATTTTTAGTCAATTATGTATCCGAAGCATTTGTATTCAACGATTTTCATGATATTAGTCTTATTCGTTTGCGGGAGTCACAGTTACGCTGTCTTTTAATTATTTTTTTAATTGGTTCTGATTTTTAAGAAGATATCTTCAGCATTTCGTTTGAATAATATCTACTAATAATAATATCCCATCTGTTAATTTTTGCATCATCGCCTTTTATAATTGGAGATAAAGTTAATCTGTTGCTTCTCCAGTTCCATCTCATATATTTAGATACTAATCCCGTCTAGCTGCTAATCAACTTTAAATAAAAACTGCTAATTAAGCTCTGTCTTAATAAGCCAGTGCCGGCTGAAATAAATAACTAATTGCGAAATCATCTAGCGAGAAAAAATAAAGTCTGAGTAGCGCAGCGCTTACAGCAGTCGCTAGCTCTAATATAGCTTCGTTTGTTTGCACGGTACACTTGTGTATTCTGCGACGGCCACGTTGACTGCAGGAGGCATAATTTAGTTGGTGCAGAGCTGCTGCTCTCACTCTCAGATATTTGATCAAATTTCATGAGGCTTGCCTTGTGAGCCGTCGATTATATACTATATAGGCGCTCTCTCGGCCTGTTGTAATGGCGTCGAGGTTGGTCATCAGGCTGCTTCTCATCGGCTTGCTCGCACGCGAATTTTTTATACTTAAAGAAAGTGGTATGATTTAATATAGCGGTGTCAGTTTTTGATTAGGCATGTGGGCCTGTGGCCGTTCCCTAACCACCCAGCCAACTAGGCGATTCCAAACATAATTTTCAAAACTTATTTCCGGGTTCTAATGCTCAAAAAAATTTCAAATTTATTTTTCATGAATTCAAATCATTTGTACTCTGAATAATCGGAATATTTTCAGAGAAAAAAAAGTAAATAAATTAATTCTAAGCCTAATAAAAATCGATTGAGCTTGTCATAACTACTGCAAACAAATTTTTAGTTATTTAACTTGGGTGACTAATGTGACTAAATTTTTTCAGCTATCAAAAATTTCATCATGCAATTGAGCTATTTTACTGGCATGCTCTTCCCAGTTTATATCTACTGGATAATTATCTATTTGATATTTACTACTCATTGTTCATTTTCTTCTAACTGCAATAAAATATTTTATGCGATTTGATTGTAATATAGGATTATTACTTGTATGCCTTGTAGGATCGGACGTGAAGCCGGGAAGATGCCCGAGCCGCGTGATCGCCTCAGAGCTCTGCCCCGTCGACGTAGCCGACCAATGCGCCGGTGACTCCGACTGCAGCGGCGCTGCCAAGTGCTGCACCACGGGCTGCGCCAGGGTGTGTGTGCGCCCGCTGCATTCAGGTGAGTGGTGGACCACGGGCTGCGCCAGGGTGTTCGTGCGCCCGCTGCATTCAGGTGAGTGCTGCACCACGGGCTGCGCCAGGGTGTGCGTGCGCCCGCTGCATTCAGGTGAGTGCTGCACCACGGGCTGCGCCAGAGTGTGCGTGCGGCCGCTGCATTCAGGTGAGTGCTGCACCACGGGCTGCGCCAGGGTGTGCGTGCGGCCGCTGCATTCAGGTGAGTGGGGGACCACGGGCTGAGCCAGGGTTTTAACTTTCAAGGTAGCAGGTGAGGTTAGTTTGTACTGATATGGTCATGATAAGGCAAGAATATTTTTTCAAGTGTACTAATATAATATTTCGGTCAACTTTTTGACTTCAGGAACGATGATAACCCTCATGGATTTCCATAAGAAAATCAAATTTTCTATTGGTCCAAAATTTGTGTTCATTTTATTTTCCTGTTTTGGTATTTCTTCGCAGACTGAGCAAATAAATAAATTTTCTACAGATTTCAATTTTACTGTAGCCGAATCATCCGTTTTCACGCATTTATATTGGAAACCAACATGTTGTGTTCATCTTATAACTAAAGTTAGTTCTACAAGTATATTTAATTCCGAATCAATAAATACTGCATATTTTTATTAAAATATGGATATGCGAGTAATATTAATCTAAACCACGTTCAAATAAGTAGCGTCAAATTTAAACATAGTTTGATTATTTCTCGGCCGATTCAGTCATATGTCGATGGAGCTTCCTCGTCGACTGCAAATTTTATTCTTGTCATGTTGAATATAAGCACACGGTAGCTTGGCTTTTCCTATTTCATGCCTCGCATTAAGTTTGCTCATATGGATCTTCTAGGAGTTTGCATTTACGAAGTAAAACACGTGGAAGATCACCGCGGATTCTCCCATCAAATAAATATTTTCTCAACCTTTTGACAGCCATGCCTGGAACACTGCGCTCCGTCGTATCCCTTTGTATTTGATTCATTTTCTTCAATCACATCGAGTTATTGTTAAATGCGCATAGTATGCCTAAATACAGGCCAGCCCCGAAAGTCTTAGCATAATGAAACTGAACCTGTAATCACCTCAATACTTCCAATAGTATTTGCTGTCGCAATAATCGTAAAATGATAGTAATATTTTAACAATGGTAAAAGTGCAGAAAAATTGATAATTTTTGATAGCATGGGAAATGTTGTAGATTCTCTAACGAAAATTCGTGTATCTTTCAAAAGTTGACCTGCTGTGCTAGAGATGCAACCCGACCGCACATGAGAGCAAAGATAAAGCTTATCTCTTCACGAAGTGTAGAAATGTCGTTATTTCAAACATGTTATTATCTGACGCGATTTGTATGCTAATTAGTTCATAAGATTACGACTGCGTCTGATAGTCCGGCTGCCGCGTCCAGCCCTCGCGTGAATTGTAATGTTCTCAGAATAGAACGCGGGCTTCCCTCGAGTCTGCTGCAGCCAGCTCCCCTCTTCATCACATCACGTCAAATTAAATCTTCCGTAATGAGTCGCTTCCCTCGTTTCCCTGATATCAGAACCCTCGACTTGATGCGTTTTTTCTTGTTTATAGAACGTTTTTATCACTCTGTTTGTACAGGATTCTAATCAATCTGCAACTGAATCAGTGTTATCAGTGTCTAAGTTGATTTTAGACTTCTGTTTTGATTGCTGTCTCCTGCGCCATTTTTCATTTTCGCCGTTTTTTTTCCTGTTAGAAGGTAGGAAAACGGCTCAAGATAGTACTATATCAGTTGAAGATTTTTCAATTCTTTTACGTTTGAAATGGTTAATTTACTTTACTCCGTATGATTCTTCTCTCAGTTGCGTTGAATCATTCAAAGCTAAGAGGCAGTGTTCAAAGCTCTTCTTCAGTTCCATAGTCATAGCTGAAGCTGTGCTCGGGTCGATTGGAAGCCATGATGCATCTAACCTGAGCCCAGGTCATGAAGCAGCGCAATCATAGATGCACACTTGACTTCCTACACTAATAACTAACTTGGTCGCTGCCAGTCCCAACTTTGTGCCATGATGTTATAATGTCGATAAATTTGCAGGCATTCGCGATGCTCCCCAACTTTAGCCATTAATCTAGAGCGTATTTCAGGACAAGGGTGGTCCGATCGCTGGATCCCTGCACGGGCGTTGCGATTTGGCGTCGTTTTTTTGACGTTGCCCAATGAAGAGACATTGAATTTTTTAACCTGTAAAATAAGTAAGAACTTTGCTTCATCGTCTTCTCAATCTCGAGGCGATCAATCTCTGCGAACGACTCGATTAATTTAATACTTGCACGAATAATGACTACCTGCATGCATGATTTGGAATTTCGATGACATTAATTGGCTACTACTTTAGTGGGAAAAATTATTTTTACAATTGGTTTGGTCATGTCTTATTCGATGTGTTTTAAGAAAACATAGCACTTAACTCTACTCAATCGATACGAGCAAACGTTAACACATTGACATTACAGTCACACATTCCTTAGTAATTTTCACTCACTTTTTTCGCGGATGAGTAAATTTTGTATAATATGAGTTTGCTTTACAATGATATGCAATTTTCACCGAGCAAACCGTTTGCTCACTGTGGTTACCTCTCCTTTTTATAATTCCTGGTTTTCCTGCATAATGTAGCTGTATGAAAAGTCGGAGGCCTACTGTGTTTACCTCTTCTATTTATAACCCCTGCATAATGTACTGAAATAACGATAGATGTATGAAAATTCGGAGGTCACGTGTGGGCCCACCCGAGAGGTCGATGTATTTTGTCTCTCCTAAATCCCATTTGTCGATACCAGAGCCTCTCGCTCTGTCTGCCGGCGACTGATGGGGCTTCAGACCTTAACAAAAGAGGAGGGAGTTATAGGTTCGACACTGGACTCCATTGGGAAGCTCTCCTTATACCTTAGGCGCTGAACCGTGTGCATATTTTTGGTCTCGTGGGTTCTCATGGCTAACACCACGGAAGATTGAAAAGATCAAGGCCTATACCTACAAAATTCGCTAAGTGAACGTAAGTACTTACGTTCACTTAGCGAGTTTTGAAAGTATGGCCCCAGGCTGCTACTCATCGGCTTGCTCGCACACCAATTTTTATACTTAAAGAAAGTGGTATACTTTAATAGAGCGGTGTCAAATTTTTTATTAGGCATGTTGGTCTGTAGCCGTTATCTAACCACATAGCTACATTGGCGAATTCGAACATAATTTTCAAAATTTATTGCCGATCTCGCGTGCTCAACAAATTTTCAAATTCTGCAAGAATTCAAATCATTTGTACTTTGAATAGTCCAATTTTTCAGAGAAAAGATTTGTAAATAAATTATTTTTGAGTGTAATAAAAATCGATTGAGCTTGTCATAACTACTGCAAACTTGTGCATATTTTTGGTCTCGTGGGTTCTCATGGCTAACACCACGGAAGATTGAAAAGATCAAGGCCTATTCTTACTAAATTCGCTAAGTGAACGTAAGTACTTACGCTCTATTTTTTGTCTACGATTGGTGGATTTTGCCTGAAAAGCCGTCAATGATTGGCTGATGAACTTACGATCTCTTAACTTTTTTTGAAAGTATAGGCCCAGTGTTAAGATAATTATTTCTTACCTGCAAATAAGAATTATTAGCGTTGTTCTTAAACTTGAATAGTTAGTTTAAGTCGGTAATCGGTTAATTGCGATTAATACAAGTTTTTGCTGAGCTCTTGAGGGATAGATGGCCTGATCAAAGCTCAACTGCTATTGTTCTTTACAAAGCAACGCGATCAAGACGGTGACCAACGACCTTCATAAATACTTTGTTTCCAGTGGAAGTTGGATAATGTGCTCGCTCATGAGGTTTACATACCCATGTAACAATATACCCTCACAGTGGGGGCTAAGTTTGATGTCTTTTTCGTTACATTATCGAACTAAGATTGGACTGGGATTTGACTATAAAGCTACATTAATTAAATCGCATCTTAAAGAACGACATTTATGAGATAGTTATGCGATTCTAGCATAACTATCTTGTGTTGCACTCTTGCTAGCATGAAAAACCAGTTATTCCTCTCTCAGAGCAATTTATTGTGTAAAAAAATAAAAAAAAATTATAATGCGTCAAAAATTGTATAAATATATTGAGTAAGAAACCGACGAATAACCAATTTTTTAAAATTGTTCTCTTGTAGTTTTCGGGCCTAAATGTCCCGTATTTCTAATCCAATGACCAGATGGCATAAGGCCTTTACCAGAAATGAAAACAACAGGAGGGTTAAAACTTTCGGTTAGTGCAATCAGCAATATGGTCTAGCCCTGAGAGTTAAATATTGCATAAGAATCTAATCGCATCTGTACGAGCTCGGAGAGTGGATTCTTGTTACAAGTATACCTCTTCTACATTAAGAAAGAGGCGAGTTTAGGTCGTTATATTGCGAGGACTAGACATCCGCTAGTGCTCTGCAATGGCAGAGCTGAAATCACTTGGCAAGTTCTCCGAGTTAGCGTCCATTCAATTAATGAGCCTTTCAGTTATGTGACGGCAAGTACTTTATTTTTTGCCCGGCTCTTCATCGGAATTGGAAGTGCCCTCCAGTGCTGTACAGTTGCATCATTTCTCACTGCCTCTGTTGCCCCTCTTTGCGCTGCTTAAATCAAGTGTCGTTCGTACTGTCGCTGTACGTTAATTGACTAAAGGATGAATGTACTTTTGAAATGGCGCTAAAAAGTTTCTAGTCTATAACTCCGTGTGTGAATAATGGCCCGAAGCTACAGCTTAAAATTTTTTGTTAAAAATATGTTAGGTTTTTATCGTTATGAACTCTTCAAATTATGATGTATGTTAATTTTTTTAGAAATATAAACAATATTGATATCTCTGTTCACACTGAAACAACGTTCTCTATTGAAGCATGTTTCACTGTAATAATTATTTCCTGGAGTCATTCATGAATTTATATTCCCTTTGCGGCTCGCTATGAAGGTTATCAACAGATGTATAATCTTTGGAT